TTTTTTTTTCTTTTGTAAACTACTTATAAAGAAGATTCTAAGTCTATTGGGTATTGCTTTCAGCCTATTTGTTTGTTTATGTAATGTTTTTTATGCAACTACAAGTAATAAAGATGAGAAAATATAAATAATATATTATTTTATATAAACTATATTCAATTTATAATTTTAGTTTTTTTTTTTTTTTACATATGAAAAGTTTTTTGTTATTACAAGAAAAGTTTTTTGTTAATACAAGAACACTTGTGGCAACTAATAAAGCATGAAGTTGAATACACATAATTAAGAAAAAAATTGTTAATATTAAAGATTATGCATCATATACCCTCCATAATGATAATAGGATACTTCTAAAGCATTGATTAGAGCCTATAATTAGAACCAAGAGGCACCTTCTAATTAATTAGCCTTAAATTATTTAAATTTAATCTTTTATAACATGATATAGATGATCATGCTATGAAAGCACTAATAAATTATTTTACAATGGCATATACATCACCTGACTTAAATCAAAATGATAAAAATAAATAATTTGATTACTTCTAGTAATTTCATCTAGGAAATTATTAACTCAAACAGCCAACATTGTGCCTAAAGAATAGAGTGAAACAAATAGTATTTCATCAGATTGTGCATTACAAACTCAATTTACTTGCATCATTATGATTGTCTATTATTCTTTCCTTAGAAGAAGGCCCTAACATATAATAATATTAAAATTAATAAATTAATTTATTTAAATAGAAATAATGGGGGAAAAGAGCTTTAATTCTAGCCATAACTATATTTTCTCATCAATTTGATTCATCCCAATCTTTATGTCTTCTTGTGGATTGAGCAATGATCATTTTCATCTCATTTAGACTTCATAGATTAATCAAATTTAGTATTAACTTAATAAATGAAATGAAAATTTATTGTTAATAAAAGAGGGATGAAACATTGCTTTAGAGTTGTTGATTTTTGTTTAGATATACCTAAAAGATGACATTTTTAACTTTATCTAATTAATTATAATATATTATATATGTCTAAAAAGATTGCAATTCCCACACACAACAATACAAAAAATAACAAACCTATGCATAGACATAGCATTTTTGTCACTGATTTTATTATATATAATATTCTTATTCAAAATATTTTAATCTTTGCTTTGGAAGATAGCTTTTAGAGTCATTATTTTTGTTATAAAAAAAACATTATAATATAAAATAGAAATTTTATATTCCCAATAAAAAAGAACAATTTGTCAGCTCCTCCTCCGTCAAATCAGAAAAATTATTCCATATGATCACCGTATGTAGAAATGCATACGGTATCAGGTCTTTACAGTTCATCACGAACATGTATTTCAGTGGTCCTCATTTTTATTTTATCAATTTGTCAGCGGCGCCTCTGTCAAATCAGAAAAATTATTTCATATGGTCACCGTATGTAAAAATGCATATGGTATCAGGTCTTCATCGTTCATCATAAACATGTATTTCAGTGAGTCTTATTTTTTTAAAAAAAAAAAATAATTGATCGATGAATGGATCGACGGTGGAAATTAGACATCATATGCATTTCTGCATACGGTGTCCGTATGAAATAATTTTTCGTTAGATCAAGCCCGGGGATCCGGCGGCGTCTCGCCCCACACAAAATTTATTACAATTGTAAGAAAAATTTCCATTTTGTGCAAATTAATTTAAATTTCTGAGCTCATTTCTCAATGAAAAAATTACATACATACCACAAAATTGTTTCATAAGAGAAATAAGTAAAGCAGAAACTACGGGAACTTTGAGGAAATATTTTATCAAAAATTTTTAATTATAAAATTATGATTATGGTTAGGGGTGTAAACGAATCGTACACGAACGAATAAAACTTGTATTCTTGTTCAGTTCGTTTGAAATTTAGTTTGTTTGAAATAAGCTAGTGTTTGAAATTGTTCGTGAATTCATTGTTCATGTTCGTTTCTTATCGAACGAGCCGAACACGAGATGTTCGCGAACAACGAACCAGTTTGACATCCCTAATATTAATATATATAAATAATATATTATATTAATTATATAACTTATATTACATAAATATATAATATCTATATGAGTATATTATTAATATATTATGATTATTATTATTATTTTATTATATATTATAATTTATAAAATTAATTTTTTAAAATATCATAAATTTTTTATATATAATTATTTTAAATTATTTTATATCACATCACAGTTCGTGTTTGGTTCGTCTAACTAACCGAACAAAAAAAAAAATTGTTCATGTTCGTCTCGTTTATTTTTTGAATGAATCGAACACGAGTTTATTGACCAACTGAGACAACAACGAGCTTTTTTGACAGCCCTAATTTGGCTGCTTACATTGCATAGATATGAATGTTGAAATGTAAGAAAGTAATTAGCAGCTAATCAGAACTGGAGAATTAAATAGAGAAATAAATTTAGAAATTTTATGAATTATAAATGAAAAAAAAAATAATTATCTGATAAAAATGAGTAACTTTTATCAAAGATTAAAAACTTAAAATTAAGTTTGAAGGTAAACATTGGAGGATGAATTAGTAAAATCATTACTAAAAGAGGCCTTTATATGCAAATTACACAATATTTATATATATTTACATATCTAACACCGAAACTTTTACATTTACATACATAACGAATTCTTTGACATAAAATAAAAATATCACCGGGCATTAACTTTCGCAATATCATTCACCCACATTATGGAGAGAAATTTGCGTACGTAAGAGGTACGCAGCGCTACGTACGTCAAGTAGGTTACGGGGAGGGTATTGGGGGTTATATTCGCGCTATATCCTCTGTAACCTCCATGTAATCTATTTGTAACCTACTTGTAATTAGTAAATTTCGCGCTTCTGTTTTCATATATTTATAAGTTACAGGTAGGGTACAGGTAGGTTACAGGGGGTATAACGTGGATATACCCCCTTACTATACTCCCTGTAACCTACCTGACGTACGCAGCGCTATGTACACGTCTTATGGCTGTCTTCCAAACGGTTACTGCATGAAATGTCTTTTACCTCGTTAATTAAAATAGTTTTATCCGTGCAATTAAATAAATTAAAAATATATATAATTATGTAATCTCATAAAACGCTCAACACGAACAAATAATAATAATTACAAAAATTATTTGCATAAAAGGTAGGTACAATCTCGAGAAATTATTGAGTACGGAGAGTGCACGCAGCGTGCGCTCTCCGATCACAGTTGCACATCAACAATCTCTTTATTTTTAAAAAAAAAATTAGTAAAAATAGGACCCACCAGCATACAAAAATGATTGATGTGCGGCCGTGATCGAAAAACGCACGCAATAATTTTTCTACAATCTCAGACCTTACTCCGGATGAATAATCCTTTATAATACAAATTTACTAATTTTTAATTTCAAAATTCAGAAACGGACAGTTGACATTAAAATATAAAAAATAAGTAAATAATAAAAAAAAAATCTATTGATGACGTTCAAAAAAATACATTAAAGTCTTAGTCGGTGGAAATAGAAAAAGAAAGGAAATATTTGGCTTTATACCTCATAAATGTAATAATGCTATCCGAGAGGTTGACCATTCCTCAAAATATTAAAAAATTATATATAATGTAGTAAAATGTAAGGTAAATATAAGGGTGTAAACGAGCTGAACACAAGCTGAGACGAGCGAGTTCAGGCTCAACTCGTGTTCGACTGATTTATATTTCGAGCTCAAAACTAGTTCACGAACAAATATTCGTTTTAGAAACCCTAATCACATAGTCATCAGATGTTAAAGATTGGAGCAAGTTTTGAAAATTTATTATTTATATTAAAACTTCATTTGAATCTAATTTCATAATTTTTATTCTATTTTCTTAATTAATTCTTTTAATTATTTATAAATCTTTATAACCTTGTAGTCAATTAATTTTTTTTAGAAATACTCCTCATCAATAAATGAATATATATATATATATATATATATATATATATATATAAATATATATAATTAATGAGTAGTGTTTCGAGCTAAAAAGAGCTGAACACGAACGAACAAATTTCTGTTCGTGTTAGACTCGTTTACTTAGCGAACGAGCCGAATACGAGCTTCTTAACAAGCTGAGCTGTTCGGGAACAACAAATTTAATAACCTTTTGATCAATCAAATAAACATTAAATTTTATAAACGAAAGACTCCAACTAATAAATGACAAAAAAAAATCTTTAAAATAATCATGAATCCTGTAATCCACCGGTTTAAATAAAATTCAGCAAAAAAAAATCTGACTAATTTTTAATTTTGAAGATCATGACATTTAAATGAAAATACAAAAACGAAAAATAGCAATAAAAGAAAAAAAAATGAAATTTACATTAATAGGGCCGTAAACGAGCTGAGCTTGATCAAGCTCAGGCTTGGCTCGTGTTCGGCTCGTTCGAAATAGCTCGTGTTCGAAATCAGCGAGTATTCAAAATTAGCTTGTGAACAGTGCTTTCGCGTTTGACTCGATTAAATATTTGTGTTCGTGTTCGGTTTAAAATTGGTTCGTTAAAATTAAATTGAAAAAAATAGATGTAAATTGTGATTCAAACCTGAACCAAATATATACAAAATAAGAGATTAACCACATTACCACATGAAATGTTATCTAAAACAAACCGAACAAGAGCGAGCAAAGAACTGTTCGTGTTCGGCTCGTTTACTTAACGAACGAGCCGAATACGAGCTACTTAACGAGCCGAACAAGAGTTGTTCACAAACAACGAGCTTTTTTGCAGCCCTATTTACATACATACCACACAATTCCTATGTATTTACATATCTAAACCTGCACATAGTGCTAGTGGTATTTTGTATTGTAATATTGAAGATTTCAAATGAAAATTTAGGACTTAAAGAGATTTAAAGTGGTAAATGGAATTAAAAAAATAATAGCAGCAAGGAAAATCCAAAATATCATCCCAATTTGAATAAAAACTTGAAAATAAAAACAATAAATGCCTTTATATGGAAATATAAAAGCCAGGAGAGCATTGTAACCTCAACTTTTTCAAAAATATCCCAAACAGAAACAAAATCAGAAATGGACCTGGATGCAAAAAAAGAATGACAAATGGGTTGGATTGCAAAAAGAGCAGAGAAAGAAGAGTTGTAGATTTTGGGATCATAACAAGCCAGCCTCTATGAGATTTCTCCTCCTCAAAGTCTCATCAACAAGCTTGAAGGTTTTCTTTACAAGCTTTTGATCCAAAGCAGTCGACCGGTAGATCTTAAACATTCGGTCGACTCGATCCGGTCTCATGCTTTGAAAGTAGAGTTCCTCGAATTTCTTCTTCACGAACCTAAGGGTAAGGATGAAATTTATGGTTTTGTGAGGAAACTTTGATGAAAATGAGTGGATAAAGATGATATTATACTGCACGAAGTTTGAAGAATATAGTTCCAAATAATTCAATTGGAAACAATAAATGGGATTATTGCATTCTAAAATAATTACGTCCGTCTTCATAGCAATTTGATGAAATTTTCAAATTTTGGCATTTCGATAGTTCTGTGCTAAAGAAACAAGCACCACACAGAAACTAAGGATGTGTTTGGGGCAGCTTGTGCTTATCCAGATAAGTTGTTTATCTGAAAATGTGGACCGTGGAGTTCGACCTGCGTTCCGTTTTTAGCGTAAAAAACCAACTGTGTTTTTGGATAAGCTACTCAAACACAGCTTCCAAATAGTGAGGCAACGTTTTCAAAACGCCGCCGCAGCGGATAAGCTGCCCCAAACAAAGCCTAACAGAACTAGAGGGAGAAAATAAATTTTTGGATGATTTACATACAAGTCATTTAATTCTATATCTAAAACCTATACTTCAATTCCTTGACAAATATGACACCCTACCTATGAATTAAAAAGTGACTTTCACTTTTTAAGCTTAAAATAGTGAGATACTTTTGATGTGGTATGAAATATTTAGGTGGATAAATGAAAAAGTATAGTGTTAGAATTGTAAATACATAGGAAAAAGCACAAGCGCACATACTCATAGGCATGTTCAACCTCTTGCTTCCCTCCTGATGTCATGGGCTGATAATCTTTAAACCACTCACATACATTTAAGGGGACCTGTTTCAAGAAATGGAATCATTTTAGTAAATTGCACAAAAACATTTGAAAAATGGGATAATTACATGCATAGCACTTGAAACTCTTTACAAAACTAGCACCCACAACATTTTTTTGAACCACCAAACCAGCGCATTTACACGTGCCACGACGATCAAACCATTGGGAATTTGATAAAAATATAAGATATGGGTTAGGCTTTTATTGTGAATTTTGATATTTGAGCAAAATTTGGTTCTAGTTTTATAAATAGCAAAGTTTCAACTGCTATTTATGTAATTAACATGATGATTTTTGGTGGTATACTCACCTTTTGCACCTTTCTTTCAAATATATCAAATTTATTTAGGAACAACATGAATGATGTTTTCTGCCACAAAGAAACAGGTTAGGAGCAAGGTGAAGGAACACAAGAACATGAATGGAGACCTAAGGAAGCCATGAATAAACCTCGAAACAAGCTTGCTTGAGAACCCAGTCAAAAAGCTCTTTTGTCTCCATCATCCTGTTCTTTGTTTCATCCTCAAAGAGTGTCTGATCATACCTGATGGTACAGAGATACTGTCACACAAAAGAGAAGGCATTGTATTCCATACAAATTTTACCAAACTTAAAATAATTCTAAGAATAAAACATAAACATTATCTGTTCCAGATATCAAGCAGAAAGAAAAACTCTAGAACCCTTGACGTTCATATTATGCAAAAGAGCAATTACAGAATTAAAGATCAGTGCCAAGTGATATAGTTAAATTAAATGATAAATAACATGTCAGAAAAGTTTAATTAATTAATTAAATTTATTCTAAAGATCAGTACATAACATTATAACCTAATTGAAAAAAGTCTAGAACACTTGATTCACTTCATGAAAGTCATGTCATTGATTCTCTATGATCTTTTGCTCATAAAAATACAGATAATCAGAAAAACATATGTTAAGTCCACTTAATTGATCATATCATATCAATCACATTTTTCTTCCAAATGATACTTGGTCATTGAGCTCCCAAAATGAAAATCCTGCATTTCAAAACCATTGATCGACATTACTTGCCATCAGAACTATTGGAGCGCTAAACTCCATAAATTTCACTAAATATTTGGTTGGTCATCAAGTGCACGTAACGATTTCATGAATGAGTGCCTATATAATGGGATACAGATACGGTAATACAGAACTGTGCTCAAATTAAATGAAATCATTTAAGCTTTAACCTCAACTATCAGTAACTTGATTTTCGAGAAATATTCAAGAGGAACGAGGTCCACAATATCGCAGAAGGCTCATATTCAAAAAAAAAATTTAAATAGAAAATCCTTGCCATCAAATCTCACACTCTCAAATCAATCATTCTAAAACCTTTTATCAGACAAATTGTCACATTATCATCCTCTAAGTTATCTCTTTTAGCCAACTCCTCAACAATTTTTATCTATAAATTTATATATCTAAAGACATCTTTATGCTATCAATATCCAATACATTTAAGCTACAATAAAAGAGAAAATCCATTCAATTTTGAGGAAAAAGGATTTAATTTAAATTTAGTGTTTTAGAATATTGAATCAAAAATGGAGGAGGATCATAAAGATAAGTATGAAAGTTGATCACTTTCTTAGTTCTAAGTGAAATCAAATTTTGATGAAAGGCTTCAACTAGGATTGGAAACGTCTCATGAGTATTTTAAAATCCATGGAGTAAAGAGCTTAATTTTAGAATGAAACTCTCGCCATTATTTTTTTTTTTGTGTGTAAAATCTATTTGTATTTAAATGAAAGGAAAAGGAAAGTGAGTTATTTTAAAAAGCACAAGTAGTAATATGGGCCATGTTCACTGGAGCAAGTCTCAACCGGAAATAAAGAAAAATTGATATGGACTCCAAATAGAGCCTGCATTTGAGTTGAAATCGGTTTTTTTATATTAATCCAGTTGAGACCCTTTGGCGATGTTTGGCTGAAAACATATCCAATAAATCCGATACTCTGTGTGATGTGAATGAGCTTGAGAACGACTACGGAAGAAATTCTTGAATCAATCTCATAATTGGAATTACAAAATCCGTATTTATATCATAAAAGAGAGAATGCACAAAAAAGACAAACGCAAAAAAATTTTATTTAACGGAACATTGATTTTAGTTTCCATCTTTTTTTTTTACATTTTTTTATGTTTGGTTGGGTTTATTAACACTGTCATTATCGGTCCTAAGCCGGGATGTGAAAAGAGAAGAGTTGCGTTAAGTAGTTAAAAACCAGCGTAAACTTGTCAAAAAAATCATGACATGAATTTTTTGATTATTGTGTGAGTGTTAGGACGTCCCCTGGAAACGACGTGTTGTATGGTCTGAATACAGTGAAAAGCGCGCAAGGGCCGCTACACCGATGTTTGGATGTAGTGTCAAATAAGCAATAGTCTCCACATTACATACGGGTGTGAGTAAAAAAGTTAATCAATAAAACTAATGAAATTAAGATTATGATAAGATCTTGAAATATAGCTACACTCAAAGGTAAATTAATGGAATTAGTTGATATTATGATTCATAGAAAGATTAATATCTTATGTATTCAAGAAACTAAACGGATTGGAGAAAAGGCTAAGGAGATTGATAACTTAGGTTTTAAACTTTGGTATTTCGGTAAGAGTCGCGGTAGAAATGGTGTAGGTGCAATTATAGAAAAGAGTTTGAAAGATAATATTATAAAAATTAATAGAGTTGGAGATTGAATTATAGCCCTTAAGATTATTATTGATACTAAGATTTATTGATACTAAGAAGATTATTATTGATACTAAGATTTTTAATATTATAAATGCTCATGCTCCTCAAGTAGGTTTAGATATATGGTCTAAAATAACTTCTGGAATGACTTAGAAAACTTAATACAAATGATACCACTTGACAAAAGAATTTTTATTAGAAGAGATTTAAATGAGCATGTCCGTAGAGTGGTAGAAGATTTCATAAATATTCATGGTGACTACAGTTTTGGAGTGACTAATGAAGAAGGTAGAGTGAGTGACTATTTTGGAGTGACTAATGAAGAAGGTAGAGTCATTTTAGATTTTACTTTAGCGTATGATTTTATTACTACTAATGTTTTATTCAAGAAAAAGAGATGAGCATCTTATTACTTCTAAATATGGATCTAATAAAACACAAATTAATTATTTTCTTATGAAAAGAAAATATCCTCGAGATTGTAAAGAATGTAAGGTCATTCCAAGTGATGATTTAAGTACCTAATATCGATTATTAGTTCTAGATTTTAAGATGAAATGTTGTAAAATAAAAAATACTATGACTCATTATCATAGAATTAGATGGGAGAAACTAAAAGACAAATAAAATTATTTTTATGAGTAAAATTCAAGATTTCAAAATTTGGGATGTTCATGAAGAAACAAATGCTATATATGGTATAAAATAACAAACATTATTAAATAAATAGCAAAAGTTATACTTGGAGAATCAAAAGAAAAAATTTATATAAACAAAATTAGTTGGTGGTGAAATAATAATATGCAAGAAAAGATAAAATAAAAGAAGATATCTCATAAAAATAGGTTTAAGGTTAAAAGCTTAGAGAACTAGAAAAAATATCAAACGGCCTACAGGGAGTAACAGAACAATCTGTGACGCTAAAAATTCTGTTTTTAGTGATCTTTATAATAGATTAAATATTAAAGATTGTTAAAAATATATGTATAAACTAGCCAAACAAAGAGAAAAGAAAAGTAAATATTCAATTCAAGCAAAGTATATTAAAGATGAAAATCAAAAAGTATTTTTCTCTAAGAAAAATATACTCAACATAGATGGGTGAGTTATTTTGATATACTTTTTAATGAAATTTTTGAAAACATGATCGACCTTAGTAGTCTTAATATCATTAATAATAATAAAACGTTTCATTTTTACCATCGCATTAGTAAAAAGGTTGAGACTTTAAAGAAAACAAAGGGTGGAAAGTTTGTAAGACCTGATGATATTCCAATTGAAGTGTGAAAATATTTAAGAGATTTGGGAGTTTCTTGGCTTACGAAACTCTTTAATATTTTTTTAAAAACTAAAAAAAATACCTGAGGAGTGGAGAAAGAGCATTTTTGTCCCCATTTTTAAGAATAAAAAAGATGCACAAGAGTGAAAAATATAGAGGAACTAAGTTGATGTGTCATACTTTAAAATTATGCGAGAGAGCACTTTAAAATTATGCGAGAGAGCAATTGAACATAAGTTAAGACGTATTACAAAGATTTTTTATTATCAATTTGGATTTATGTTGGGCAGGTCTAGTATGAAAGCTATAGATTTAATGTTTGATGTAGAAGTTCAGAGATAATAAGGAGGGTCAACATTTGATTTTTATTGGTTTAGAAAAAACTTACGATAAGGTTCCAAATGATATCCTTTGGAGAGTTCTAGAGAAGAAAGGTGTTGATATAACTTGTATTCAAGTCATTAAAGATATGTATACTAGAGCTGTTACTTGTGTTCAAACTGAAGGAGGATTGACAAAATATTTTCCTTTGTTATATTACATCAGGGATCGGCTTTAAGCCCATATCTTTTTGCTTTAGTTATGGATGGTCTTACTAGACTCTTACAGGAGGTTTATTCTTTTTGTTGATGGTATCCTTCTCATGGATAGGATGAGAGAGAGCCCAAGAAAAACTTGAATTATGGAGGCCTATATTGGAGTCTAAAGGCCTTCATTTGAGTCGAACTAAAACTGAATACATGGAACTTAATTTTAGTAGTAGCAACTCTAGTGACAGAAGTGTAACTTTCGGTGATCAAACTATTAAAAGGTGCGAACGATTTAGATATCTCGGGTCTATTGTTCAAAACAATGGTGATATAGATAGGATGTTAATAGTAAAATTCAAGTTGGTTGGTTGAAGTGGAGGAATGCTTCGGGTTTTTTGTGTGATAAAAAGTACCGCTTAGATTGAAAGGAAAAATTTATAAGGAAAATTTTATAAAACGGTGGTGAGACTTGCAAAGCTCTATGGCGTTGAATGTTGGCTTTTAAAAAGAGAAGCATAATACTAAGTTAAGTGGTGTCGAGATGAGAATGACTAGGTGGATGAGCGGCTTTACACTTAGAGACAAAATGCGAAATGAATATATCCGTAATAGGTTTGGTGTGACTCCTGTGACGGACAAAATTAGAGAGTCGTCTTAGATGGTTTGGTGGCATTAAACTTCGACCAACTGATGATCCGATTAGGAGAGTAGATGTTTTAGATTTGACTTATGTCAAGAAAGGCAGAGATAGACCTAGGAAGACTTGGGCTTAATGTATAAAAAATGATCTTAATTTATTAGAACTAAATAAAAATATGAAACTAAATAGGACACAATGGAGAAAAAGGATTCATGTAGCCGACCCCACGTAGTGGGATTAAGGCTTTGTTGTTGTTGTTGTTGTTGTTGTTGTTGTTGTTGTTGTTGTTGTTGTTGTTGTTATGTTTGGCGGGGTTTATGCTAAATTCATGATATTTAAATTATGCTACCGAACACCGCCCGAAATTTTA